TCGCTTAATTGTAATAAGATTGTATTTCTACTGTTCATATGTGTGGAAAATGAAGTATGGGTAGCAAGAATTGCTTTGCACTGATAGAGATTGTTTAAAAAGTTTTCTCATGGCTATCTTGTTTAATCTCATTTTGTCTCAAATAGTTAATCTAATTTAAAATTTCGTTCATTTTATAAAATTTTTTTCCTCTGATTATGATCTTAGTCATTTATTTATCTAAATCTCTTAGTCATATTTTCTGTATTACAATTTTTATTTTATGTTTTGATTTTCTTTATTTTTATTGGTCATGTCTTTGTATTTTTGTAAATTGTTTCCTTTTATATGCAATCAAGGTGATATAAAAAAATAAGTGATTTAATTCAATTCAATTTTATTATTTTATTATATATATATATATATATATATATATATATATATATATATATATATATATATATATATATATATATATATATATATATATATATATATATATATATATATATATATATATATATATATATATATATATATATATATATATATATATATATATATATATATATATATATATATATATACATATATATATATATATATATATATATATATATATATATATATATATATATATATGTATATATATATATATATACATATATATATATATATATATATATGTATATTTATAGCAGAGCTATATTTAACGCTTTGCCTTATAATTATTTTTTATTTCACGTTTTATCTTTTGTTTCCACATATATCTTGATTCAGTTACAAACAATAACTTACACACAGACAGGCGAATCAGAAGAGAAGAAAATGACTTATGGGCTGCGTTCTCTGACACCATCCCAACAATACCAAAATCTGAAACAATCCTGATTGGAGGCGATCATAATGGCCACGTTGGAGAGAAAACAGATGGCTTCGACAACGTACATACATAGCGGTTTTGGTTATGGAGAACGGTATGAAGATGGCAACCGCATCCTTGAGTTTGCTGAAAGTCAAGGGTTTTGTTTACTGAACACATATTTTAGAAAGAGGCTGGAACATCTCATAACACACTAAAGTGAACCATCAGCCACGCAAATTGATTTCTTCTCTTCAAGCAACAACACCGAAGACAATTCAAAAATGTCAAAGTTATACATGTGTCGCCCAACATAGACTCCTTGTGGCAGACCTGGTTGTCGAACTTTCAAAACATAAGTCTAAGCAAATGCCTCGGAAAATCAAAACGTGGAAGCTGAAAAGCAATATTCATCGAGAAAAATTTCAACAGATTGTCGCTACACAGTTAGACCACCAATCGCAATCCAGTACAGATTGGAGTACATACAAAACCGTTTTGATAAACGCTGCACTACAATTTGTGGGGAAAACTGGTACAAAATGTCAGCATGAACGGGACACTTGGTGGTGGAAGTTGCATACAAGCAATGACAAAAATCAAAGTTTGTTGATGATCATAAAACTTTCCGTGAGAAGAACAACTATGCAAGACGTCAATTCGCACTGGGGAAAATACTTCAACCGTCTTTTATGTGAAACAAATCCCATCAATGTCAACTTAGACGTTTCACCCATCGAAGGTCCGATTCCAGACATCAATGTAGAAGAGCTTACAGAAGCTCTGAAAGCTAAGAAGGATGGCAAGGCAACAGGGCCCTCTGAACTCATAAATGACATTAACAAAGCATCTGGTACTGCAGGTATCCAAACGTTACTACAACTTTGCCGTGAAGTGAGGAGAAATTGCTCAATGCCGACTGAATGGATCCATGGCATGACAGTTCCGCTATACAAAGGCAAAAGTGATCCATTGAACTGTTCATCATATCGGGGTATAAGTCTGTTAGAACACTTCCTGAAAATTGTCGAGAAAATCATTGAGAGAAGATTAACGTCCTGCATCACAATTGGAAATTATCAATTTGGTTTCCTAGCGGGGACATCAACAATTGATGCAATTCACATCCTTCGGCAACTGTAAGAGAAGTACCTCGCAAAGCATCAACAACTATCACACATTGATGAGGTGTGACATCCCACTACCACTACGATCAAGACTTTATAAATCTGTGATACGTCCGGTTTTGTTTTATGGTGCAGAAACATGGCCAATGACAACCAAACTGGAACAACAACTTCAACGAACCGACATGAAAATGCTCCGATGGATGCAACAAATTAGTCTGAAGGACCACATCAAATCTACCAAAATCCTGCGTCGTGCTGGTTTAGATGAAATAAAGGACGAATGCCGGCAACACCGTCTGCGTTGGTTTGGTCATGTCAAACGAAGTGAAAACAGTGCCATAACTTTTCTTGCAGATGTTGAAGTACCTGGCACACGTCCCAAAAGCCGTCCAAAGAAGTCCTGGTCGCAAACAATCGAGCAAGACATGAAAGCTCTAAATTTAAATGAAATGGATACAACTGATCGTCTAATTTGGCGCAAAAAGTTGATGGCAAAGAAAACAACGTCCTACCTCGGGAAACTGGGTCTCTGGACGCTGAACGAAGATTGATTAAACTATGTGAATTTTATTAGTTTATATTTAATTTGTTTCAATAATTTAATTTTTATTTAAATATGTTAATTTTAAATTAATAGCAATAAAATGATTTTTATAAAACATTTTGTTAATTTAATTAATAGACTAAATAATAAAATACAATTTATTATTAGAAAAATAGAGATTAAAATTATTAAATAATAATATTGCACAAAGAGATGGTTCAATTAAAAAGCACATAGAAACTCCTCATTAATTAGGAAGATTCTAGATAACAAAGCGAACATTTTATACAACAATTAACAATGCTACAACCTAAGAATCGCAGAAGCCATTTCCATCAAATCGGAAAAACTTTCCATCAACATCCAACAACAAATCACAACAATACTTCCAACCCGAAGAATTAAAAACACTAACGTGTTTTTAGCAATCTATCAATGACGATGATAATGATAATAACAACAACAACAATAACAGCAATAATAATAATGGGAACATTCTTTTATTGACCAAAAGATAAAATCCAAATGAAATCAATAAAAAATTATTAACTATATATAAGAGTGTAAATAAATAAGATGTGAATGTACGATCCTTCATGCTCTTTGATCAACAAGTGCTTAGAATAAAAATATATTTAAAATCGTTTAGGAGTGTTTCTGTCAAAATATACGCTGTATGACGTAAGTATAATTGGTATATGGGGTTTTGGTTTACTCGACATCGTTATGTGGATTTTCAATCACTAAATTTTCCGTTATAAACTAATGTTTTTACTCATTTTCCTTCAATAAAACAATAATTAACTTCTTCTGACAACGTTTTTAAAATTTGCGAAAGATTTCGTTGCTCTATTACAGTTCGTTCTACAATTTTTTATGAATTCAATAAATGTTCATCATCGTCGTCATAGTTACCGATTTTAATTTCAAATTTCAACGGTTTTTTATTCTAATTTAATTTATATTCTAATTTATTCTAATTTAACTTAATTCAAATAAAAATTATTTATTATTTAACAATTTTTTTAGCTAATTTCATTTTTTTCAACTAAGTTTCTAGATTTTTGCTTTATTAATTTTTTTTCATCCGTTTTTACTTTTATCCACTCATTACTAATTATTGCTCACATACTCAATCGAATGATCCAATACACACGCCAACAGCTGCTTGATTTTCTACCCGACAAATTCGCCATCAAAAGACGGCTAAGAAAAAGTCTTTTCCTCAACAAAGTTTGGAACCAAGATCATCACCAACATCAACACCTCTCCTCTTTTCAATCGCTTCAAAACTCTACAACTTAAACATCAACACTCTCGGCCCATCTACCTGGAACTAATTCATCTTCAGCAATACCAGTAGTAGTTTTATCAACCCGTAAAAGAAGCAACCACCCCAGTCGACGCTCATCGTCTAATCATCCCAATCTCATCAACATCAAACTCACCCCGACTTACAACCCAGCCAAAATCACCCCATGTCATCATCCACCTACTATCTACATTTTGAATGTCACTTGCATTGTCAAGCCACATGCTATTGAGCATCTCCACCCTGACATCATCATCATCATCACCGAGTCATGGCTTAGGCCAGATCACCCTGATGGTTTGATCGCAATAGATGGCTACACACCTTTTAGAAAAGACCGCCCTGGCAGTCGGCGTTGAGGAGGCGCCATTATGCTCGTAATTTTCACCATCATTACAAACCAAAATAAAAATATAATAAAACTTTTAAAATCGAATCATTGCAATAAAACAGTAAGCTACGTAAAAACGACTCTCGTGTTTCAATACCAACGCAATAATAATTCTACTAATAATAAAAACAATAACATTAATAATAATAATAACTATATTATTAAAAATTACAATAATAATAACGAAAATAATAATTTTTAATAGTGTATAAACTATAATGATTCTTAATCAATAAATAATTCATTGACGATGACGGTTTTACGTCGAAATAGATCTATCTGCAATAATTTTAATGAAATGTTATTAATAGAAATAAAGTTTCAATTTTGAACAGACTTGATTTTGTTGATAAAAATTATAAAGCTGATAATTTGTAAAACGGCCAAATTAATGAAAATAAATAAAGTTGAAACCAAACAGCCTCGCGTTGTTGAAATTTTGTTCAGGAAAAAATATACAAAGATGCTAAATGGGGTACTATCTTTAGCCAAACATGTTTATCTAAAATCTCCAAATTACAAATGCATGTATATATATATATACATATATATATATATGTATATTATATATATATATATATATATATATATATGAAAATATAAAATAAATAGAAGTAATGTGTAAAACCTTAATAATTTTTTATGTATCGATTTGTGTTTTGCGACTTAGCACGTGCTAGTTGTTGAATTTTGGTTTTCTTATTGACTTTATTGCCTTCAGGTAACTATAAAATAGGCTTTCCACGTCGCACAGGTTTAGCCTTTGCTAGCAAAGTTTCAAGTAAATCTAAATGAATAAACCGTAACCCTCAATATGATAGGGCTTGGCTGTCAGGAAAAAATCTTGACCTAAAATTATTACGTTTTTAAATCCTAATATAAGTGGAAATAACGAAACGACGTATTCACCGTTCACCTCAATTATCATTATTTATGATGATAATCTGCTCCGCACATGTTTCAAATTAATTCCGGAACAAATTAAATATAAATATGTACTTAAACCAATTATTTCTAAATTATATAAATGAATTATTTTATGACAACGTTCATTAAAGCAAAAAAATATTATTCACCTGCGAAATAAAATTGTTCTTAGATGCACCAATTGAAAAAATTATCCAGCACGCCAACAACAAATGCCATGAGCGTTGAAAGGAATAAAAAACTTGCAGTACTTTTATATAAACAAAGACTAAAGTTGCAGCAAGAAAGCATGTTTTTGTTGTGCAAATGAATCACCGAATAATGAATGTGAATCTATTTTAATGTATATTCAGTTCAAGCAACCTACGATTTACGTAATAGTTTATTTACTCTTATGATGAAGGTTCATTAATGTACTAAATCAAAATTTGGCGTTTTCATCGAGATCAAAAATGTTTTTTCAATAAAACAGCTGTTGAAGCATATTGGTACATTGTGACTAAGTGGTTAAATTTTTCTTGCGGATTTAATTTAAAGACGTTATAACAAAAATAAAATAAAAATTCATATATTTTCATAATTTTTTTTATTATTTTCCGAACTCAGCTTTTTTTCAAAAATATGCGTCAATGTGAACATAAACAAATCTGAAGAGTTTATTATCACTAATCGAAAAAAAATTTCAAATATCACGAAAGCTAAAAACATGGCTTAACAACGTTTTTTCATTCCCTTTAATCATTCGCATATTACGAATATTTCTAAGCAATGAACTTATTCATTGTACCATTTATTAAATTATTTCAAAATATGTAAAATATAAACTAGCCTAAAAGATGAATTCAAAATACAAATGCATAACGTAATAATTCGTTTATAGATGTTACACAATTATCTGAAAAATTAATCATCTATGTAGACCAGAATTATGTATTGAAACCGGAATTAACTTAAATTTTTTTAATTGGCTAACCTATATATATATAAAGTAATATAAAAGATGGGTCTACTTATTAATAACACAATAAGCCAATGAAAGAATGGCAATCCCGGCAGTTCAAAAACGATCCGGATTGCATCGATAAAGCTGATAATTTTTAAATTTTAAATTTTTAAACACCTAATTTCCATCTAAGTTCATTTTGACAAAGTCAATATTTCCCTATATAAACAGCAGAAAGCACTGATGATGATTCATTCGGAATCGAAATATGGCCTAATTGGCAGCATGAATTTGGAAAATAAGTTTATTTTGAATTTTAATAAACTAAACGTTCACCAAAAAATTTAGTGAGAAAAATTTAAAAAACGAACTACAAACAAATTAACGCCAAACATTCGGTAGAATTTATAGAATATTGTAAAAATTATGGTCTATTACCAATACAAACACACACACACACATACATACATACATATATATATATATATATATATATATATATATATATATATATATATATATATATATATATATATATATATATATACACATTTTTAACATCCGGTCTAGCACGTGGCATCGATAGCACGTTTCTTCACTTATGCTTATTATTTTGATTTTAATCGATTTTGAAGGATTTTCTGTCAATCAAAGCTAATCGTTTCTGTTGAATTAATCATAGTAATTAATTTCAAAGTTATCTAGTTTTACATAGTTCGGTTTTTCGTTATTTAGTTAATCGTAATAAGTTGAATTTCGCTTGAGGCACGTGTTTGTGCTATCAGGTTATAAAGCCTTCTACAACTATGTCTCTTCGTAAATGTGTTAAATGTACGCAAGTTGTTCCTGCTAAAGAGGCTATACATTGCAGTCGTTGTGAATGTATCACACATGTCAAATGCATCAATGACAGCACAAAGTTTTCTGAAAATATTAAAGATTTTTTAAAGATTTGTAGTGGCCTGAAATGGTTTTGTGAAAGTTGTTTAGATCAGCTATNTGATATGAATTCGTTGTTAAAATCAATTAATATCAGTAGATATGAAATGTTAGCAAAATTGGATGTAAATAAAGACGAAATCTTGTCGAAAATAGATAAACTGGACGAAATGAACATGATGGTTAAATCAGAAATTGAAAACATAAAATCAATAATAAACTCGAATGAAAACAAGTATAGTCAGGTTAACCGCTCTGACGACGGTCTTCGCAGTGAAATCGATAGTATGAAGAAAGAAATGAATTACATTTGCAAGCATTGTAAAGAGAAATGTAGACAGCATCAACAATGAGGTCAAGTTAGTACAGAAAACTCTTGCTGAAGTGAATGAAACAAAGGAAAAAGAAACAAACTTGATTATATTTCGCTTAAAAGAGAGCGAAAACGATCGTGCTAATGTTGAGACAATATTTAAACACTTAACAGATGATGTAACTGAAAAAAATATTCTTAAGATAACACGACTTGGTAAGAAGGATGAAAATAAAATCAGACCTTTGTTGGTAAAACTTGAAAATATTGGGATCAAAAATTTAATAATGAAAAACGTGTATAAAATAAAATCACTGGCTGAAGAATATGCAGGCATTGGACTAAGCGATGACTTAACAAAAGAACAAAGACAGGAATACAAGATGCTGGTTGAAAAAGCTAAGAAATTGGAATCTGATGATAAACGAGGTTTTTTATTCCGGGTCAGAGGACCGGTTGGAAGATGGAAAATAGTGTCGTTTCCAATGAAAACAAAAGAAAACACACCAGTAGCATAGGCACGGAAGAGGTGATGTCTAGAAATGATGTGATGAGTGATTGTAATGTATTGCTAGGAATGTTAAACATTAGATCAATTAATTCAAACTCGGATAAAGTTTACGAAATGATTCAAGACGGCTTAGACATTCTTGTCTTGTTTTGGTAGAAACGTGGCATGGTTCCACAGAAAATGTATCAGTAAAGTCATCGATGCCACCTGGGTTTAGATATGTTGATTTCTTGAAGTTGAATGATCCGCATCATGGGGGAATAATAGTATTCTTTAAATCAAACTTCAAATATAAAAAGATTGATCTGCCTACTTTTGACACGTTCGAAGTTGTCGCTCTCAAATTTGTTATAATATAAACAGTAAAGATTTTGTTTTGTTATCTCTATTCAGACCTGGTTCAGTTCAAATGAATGCATTATTTTTCGAAGAATTGTCAAAAGTTTTAGATAACATAACAGTCCTAAGTTCGAGCATATTGTTGGTTGGTGATTTTAACGTTCACATTGAAAGATGCAATGATTGTCACGCAAACAGACTACTTGATCTATTTGAAACGTTTAATTTAATCAACTTGATCAGTGAGCAAACTCACGAACGAGGTGGAACACTCGACCTGGTTGTTTGTTCTGAAAATTTTCATGTTTCAATTAGTAATATATTTCCTAGTGGTGTGTACTTCGACCACAGTTTGATACATGTTAGCATACCAATTAAACGAATATGTCTTAAAAAAGTTCGCAGATTAGCTAGATCGTGGAGAAAACTTGATGAAAATCTGTTTTTTTCGTATGTTGCAAATTCTCCATTAACAAAGCCATGTCAGAGTCACGACGTAAATTTTGAATTTGAACTTTTTAATGATGAGATGAAGAAAATTGTTGATAAAGTTGCGCCTCTTCACTTTATAGAACACAGTGCGATTTGATAACTCCTTGGTTTGATGATGAATGCAGAGCAGTTAAAAAACTTTGTCGACAGAAAGAAAGGAAATATAGAAAATATTTATCATCTGCCTGTCGGAATGAATGGATTGCTGCTTTGCGAAATAAAACTAAATGTTTCTCTAAAAAAAGAAATTGTTATTGGAAAACACTGGTAAAGGAAAACGACGGAAACCCTAAAAATTTGTGGAAAGTAATTAATAAAATCATTTGCAAAAATTATGATAATGAATCGTCTCAGAAACATGTAGACATCACTTGTTCTCAATTTATTGATCATTTTGAAGAAAAAATCAACAAAATAAAACGAGACACCAAAGTAGTTGACAAACCAGTTTTTGATGGATGTAAATTAAACAGTGGCTCTTTGTTTTCAAATTTTGCAGTGGTTTCAGAAGAAGATGTAAAAAAAATTGTTCTTAATCTGCCATCTAAATCTTGCATGTTAGACGTCCTTCCTACTCACATTTTGAAAAAACATATAGACCTCTTCATCTCGTTTCTCACAAGTTTAGTTAATTTATGTTTGTGTGCTGGAGCACTTCCTGTTTCTTGCAAGCATGCGGTTGTGATACCCATCTTGAAAAAAACAAACGCAGATTTTAATGAGCTCGGAAACTACAGACCAATATGTAACATTTGTTTCATCTCCAAAATCATAGAACGTGTCGTAGTAGGTGAACTTGTAAATCATTTAAATAAACATAATTTGTTCCCGATTCATCAATCTGGATATAAACGTTACCATTCAACAGAGACGGCATTGTTATATGTCTTGTCCGAATTATTTTCCTCCATCGACAAACAGAATATTGCTCTACTCGCATTTTTGGACATGAGTGCAGCGTTTGACTGTGTTGATCATCAAATTCTATTGAACAGATTAATTCACGACTTAGGCATTGCTGGAACTGTTATCAAGTGGTTCGACTCCTATTTGACTGGAAGGACTCAACAGGTATTTTTCAAAGGGCATCTGTCTAGTGTAAAAACAAAGTCATCCGGAGTGCCACAAGGTTCAATACTTGGACCTATTTTGTTCATACTGTATACAGCTGATGTATTTAATGTAATTGATACTTTTGGTTTTTCTTATCATGCATATGCCGACGACATTCAAATAATAGTCAGCAGTGAACCAGATTAGTTCGAAAGTGCAGTTGAAAGACTAATAAAATGTTTGGCTAAAGTTGACACATGGATGTCAAAAAATTGTCTAAAACTTAATCAAAATAAATCACAGTTTTTACCAGTGGGCACCTGGCAGCAGCTATCAAAAGTAAAAATTGATTCAATAATGATTGAAGATAATGAGATAAAATTTTGCAAGAAGGCTACCAATTTGGGATGTATTTTTGACACTAAATTAATACTTTGTGACCACATAAAATCGCAATCTAAATCATGTTCAGCACAACTTCAACAAATATACCGAATAAGAAAATATCTGGATCAAACTGTAACACAATCATTGGTTCATGCGTTTGTCCACTCGAGATTGAATTATTGCAACAGTCTGTTTTACGGGTTGCCAGAAAGGTCTATCGCTGACCTCCAGTCTATTCAGAACAGAGCTGCAAAGGTGATTGTTAGAAGCAGAAAATAAGATCATGTGACGCCAATTCTGAATAGGCTCCATTGGCTAACAGTAAAGAAACGAATTTTTTACAAAATATGCGTCATTATGTACAAGGCCATAAACGGACAACTCCCAGAATACCTGGCTGATAGATTCATAAAGAAGCCGCTGTCTTCGACTGGCAGACGCATGCGATCAGATGACGTCAATTTGTTGATTGTACCAACTACGCAGCTGCAGACATCGTCAAGAGACATTGCAGTGTCGGGACCAATCGTCTGGAATAGTCTGCCAATGTCGAGGAGAATGTCAAAGATGAACATTGTTGATTTCAAAAAGAATTTGAAAACTTATCTATTTGCGATGAACGATTGTAATTGATTGTATCATATCGTCTATTGATAGGATGTACATTATTTCACTGTTCGTTTATTATTTTTCTTTTTTCGATAGCGCTTGTGAGAGATATTTATTTTAATAGGCGCTTTATAAGTGTTTGATAATAATAATAATAATAATAATAATAATAATAATAATAATAATAATAATACAATATTCTATAAATTCTACCGAATGTTTGGCGTTAGCGAATGTTTGGCGTTAATATGTTTGTTTCGATTTTTCTCACTAAAGTTTTTTGGAGAACGTTTTGTTTCATAAAATTCAAAATTACCTTATCTTCCAAATTCATGTTGAAAATAAGGCCATATTTCGATTCCGAATAAATCATCATCAGTGCAATTTAATTTATATAGGGAAATATTCACTTTGTGAAAGTGAACTTAGATGTAAATTAGGTGTCATCTTCGTTGGTTTCCTTTTCTTCATAGATAGCATCATATTCTTCTTGATACTAGCCCTAATATATATTATTATTATTATTATTAAATTATTATTATTATTATTATTAAATGCATTTGTATAGCGCCTATTAAATGAAATCTCACAGGCACTCTCAAAATCCAGTAACAATAAATTAAAGAAATGATGAGAAGTCAAAAGTCAGCAGTTTATCCACAATGTACATTAAACGAATATACAATGTATACTTGTATCATATAAAAATAGCGGGTAAATAAAAAAAAATTAAGTCAAATTAACAAATCATAAATTTAAAGTTTCAAATAAAACATGACACTAGTTCCATATCATCGTTTCACATCAGAACATGTCCTGACATTGACATCGGCATTTCTGGTGCTGCCACTTTTGCTGTTGTTATTGAAAACCCAATTCCTAACCTGAACATAATCAGGCCAAGAACTTGATCTTCCAACTATTTCCGCATACTTCTCATCTACACACAACCGGAATGAAGTAGAAGGGTGGGTTTCATCAAGTTTTATTTTGTCATCTCTCCTCTTGTATACAGGGTAGCATGACAAAACTTTAACATCAATTGACTTAAGGTGGTCAACAACATTGGATGCACAAGTCTTTGAAACATTACCAATGTGATAAAATTTGTTCCGATATACAACATTACTAGCTGATATTTTATATTGCGTAGGTCTGTGAGGTTCAACAGTGGTCTTTGATATTGCATGACAACATGGGCTTGACAGTTGATAGTTATAGAATAGAATAGTTGATAGAATATTACTATATACATTATTATATATATATATAGGGGAAATTATATATATATATATATAGGAAAATTTATATATATATATATATATGTGTGTGTGTGTGTGTTTGTGTGTGTGTATGCGTGCGTGCGTGTGTGTGTGTAATTAGCCTTACAGAAAAGTCAGATTTTTTTATTGGCTTTTCCATCTTCGTTGGTTTCCTTTTCTTCATCGATAGCATCATATTCTACTTGCTACCAGCCATAATATATATATAATATACTAGCCATATAAATATATATAAATATTACATATTATATATATATATATATATATTATACATTATTATATATATATGTGAGTGTGTGTGTGTGTGTGTGTGCGTGCGCGTGTGTCTGTAATTAGACGCTATCTTACAGAAGAGTCAGCAAAATCTCTGGTGTGCAGTCTTGTCTGTACGAGAATCGACTACTGTAATTCTGTTTTGAATGGTGTCAACAAATATCAATTGGCATCCCTGCAATCGATTCTGAGGTCTGCGGTTAGGGTGAATGCTCGAGTTTCTAAATTTGACAACATTTACGATTACATGAAAAATAAACTTCATTGGCTGTCGGTCAAGGACAAAATTCGATTTCAATTAGCTCTTATGGTAAGAAACTGTTTGGATGAAAAAGCAACGGCCAGAGATGGACAAATTACACACTATATTGTAATTTCGATACAAATTACAAAATACTCTAAATATTTTAATTTCGATACCAGTTACAAATTATATTTAATAAAAGGGCCAAATTACTAATTACAAACTACTTGATTCAAATTACATAAAATTAAATTACATCAAACCAGTTTTGAATAAATGAAGAAAAAAAATTTCTTTGAAGTTATTTAGACATTGATTTTTCTTTGCGCTGATATTCTTTTATGTCATTTTTATATTCATTTATTAAGTTAATTTTTTTTCTATCAACAACTCGTTCAATCATTTAACGAATGACTGAAGAAAAAAAGACACTATTCACCACTACTTTTGATTTTGCATATTCATTGATGTCATTTTCATATTCTTTTATTAAATTACATTCTTTCGATCAACAATTTGTTCAATCTTTTAATGAACGACTGAAGAAAGAAGAAAAGAAAGGAAGAAGGAAAAAGGGAAGAAAAAAAGAAAGAAAGAAAGAAAAAAAAAGAAGCGTCAAACATCAAAGAAGTAAACTTCTTTGAGGTAGCTATATGACCATAAAACTTCAAAGTAGCAAATGAAATTTTTAATCAATTAAATTTTTAGAATTTCAAGAATTTCATTTTGTTTCTAATACTTTAAATTACTGCCGTGATGATGAAGATGACGATGAAGGTATTGGGAATAGTCTAGAAGTTGACAGTGACAATAACATTGAATTATTTGATATGCAGTGGGACTGAAAAACAATTGTAGTCCTAGAGATAACTCTGTGTTAAAGCGTACTTCACATTACAATTGTTTTTCAGTATTAGGTGAGACGTCTTTTTATTGTTGTAATAAATTCGAAGTTTAACTTTACTATTTGGGTTGGTTGGTGTGACATTTTATTGATGATATGTTTAAGAATAGCTTCATCTAACTTATTATGTTTACGTTTAGCGTGATGGCGGCACGTTTTTTCGGTGGTTTTGTAATTTGGGTGGATTCTTGTTTTTTGCTTTTGGACAAGTGAGTTTTTTGCTTCTGAACAAGTGAGTTCTCTTCTTTTTTACTATGACTATTTTTTTCTATATTTTTTTCTATAACTTGTAAATGTTATTATGTCTTATTCTAGAGACTTTCTCTTAAGCCTCTCTAACACTCCTTTGTCTCCGACGAGAGTAGTTCGGCGGCGAATTTTTTACTTTAATCTTAGGTTTAATAATAACAATAAAAACAATAAATCTAACTCTAACAAAAAAATAAATATAGTTAGTAACAATAATTATATTAATAATAATAATACTAATAGCAAGTATAATAAGAATAACTTTATGAAATCCCACTTTAATGTAATTAATACTAACGATAAGAATAATAATTCTAATTCTATTAGTTTAAATAATATAACTAGATTTAAAAGTACCAATATCCAACCTACCTCTACATTTTCACTATTTAATATTAACATAAGATCAATTAATAAAAAATCGCTCTATATCCATCAAATAATCTCTTCCTCCTTACCTGATTTTTTTACTCTTACTGAAACTTGGCACGAGGACTCTAACTCTCCCTCTCTTATTCTTGTTACTCCTGATGGTTACAGCTTTCTTGAACTCTCTAGACCTCCAAAAAATCTTCTATCATCTTCTCATTCTTCTTGGGGGGTATCTGTCTATTTTATAAATCTCTATATACTGCTTCCATTAATACTTCCTTTAATTTTTCTTCTTTTGAATGTCTTGTTGTATCTCTTAAGTCTTCTTCTCTATCTTTTTATATTGCTGTAATCTATCGCCCTCCTTCTTTTTCTCTCACTTTATTTTTAGATGAATTCTATTCACTCGCTGAATCTCTCTACTCTACTCCTTTCTACATCTCTGGTGATTTCAACTTGCACTTCAATAATTTATCATGTTCTTACACTCGTAGATTTAAGGATATTTTGTCTCTTTTTAACTTAACTCAATATTGTTCTTTTCCTACCCATACTTCTGGTACACTATTGATTTTATTATAGCTTCATCTTTTTCTAAGCCTATTAATATCTCTGCTAACCCTGTTTCTTATTCTGATCACCTTCTTATTGAATCTGTTTTTTCATTAGATTTTCTTCCTTCAAATTCATCTATGTTTATTTCTAAAAGATGCTGGTCTTCTCTTAATAAAGATATTTTTCTTCAATCTCTCACTGAAACTATTTTTGATACTACCTTATTTTCTGATGTTGATGATTTTGTCTATGCTTTTAATATCTACATTACTTCTATTCTTGATAAGCTTATTCCTCCTAAATCTTTTACTTATAGGCTCTATTCTCGTAAGGCTCCTTAGTTTGATTATGCTTGTGTAGTGGCCAAAAAAAGTGTTAGACGACTGGAGAAAGTCTATAGGTTAAATCCATCTAACTCTCTTTATTCAATCTATGAATCTGAATTGATTAATTATAAATATCTACTATTCTACTATCGTCTTGGGCATGACATAAAACTGCATCCACACTGCCTTGCGTGCTTTTGAGCAAAAGGCTAGACCCACCGCTTATAACTGGTGGTTGTTGTCAGGATGGGTGTCCGGATGTAAAAACTTTTCCCCAAATTACTCTTATGCCATCACAAAAAAAAACAACGGCCCCTAGTCCCCAGCAGGCCTTAAGTGGTCAAGGGATGCCAAGAATCCCTGTGAAGTATGCAATAGCAAAGGGATGTTGCAGAAAAATTCAGAATGGCCCCTTTATGGTACTTAGATTTGGAACGCTCAATGTTGGATTACTGACTGGCCGCAGCATGGAAATCGCAGAAATGCTTGAGCGTAGTAGGATTGACATCTGCTGCCTTCAGGAAACCAGATGGAAATCGAATGGTGTCTGTCATGTCAACTCAGACAAAGAAAAATATAAACTATTCTGGAAGGGTCAAAAGACGGCCAAAAATGGAGTTGGAATTTTTGTCAGAGAACCGCTAGCCCAAGAAGTACTGGATAATAAAAGAATTAATTCACGTCTCATGTGGATCAAGCTTCGCATAGAAAAGCAAACAATGATTATTTTTTCTGCATACGCACCACAGACAGGCGAATCAGAAGAGATGAAAAATGACTTCTGGGCTGCATTCTCTGACACCATCTCAACAATAACAAAATCTGAAACAATCCTGATTGGAGGCGATCTCAATGGCCACGTTAGAGAGAAAACAGATGGTTTTGACAACGTACATGGCGGTTTTGGCTATGGAGAACGGAATGAAGATGGCAACTGCATCCTTGAGTTTGCTGAAAGTCACGGGTTTTGTTTACTGAACACATATTTTAAAAAGAGGTTGAAACATCTCATAACATACAAAAGTGGACCATCAGCCACGCAAATTGATTTCTTCGCTGAAAAGCAAACACACCGAAGGCTGCTCAAAAATCGGAGAATCAAAACGTGGAAGCTGAAAAGCAATATTCATCGAGAAAAATTTCAACAGATTGTTAGACCACCAATCGCAAGCCAGTACAGATTGGAGTACATACAAAACCGTTTTGATAAACGCTGCAACTACAGTTTGTGAGAAAACTGGTACAAAACGTCAGCATGAACGTGACACTTGGTGGTGGAATGACAGTGTACAAAATGCAATAGCTGAAAAGAAAGTTGCATAAAAACAATGGCAAAAATCAAAGTTTGTTGATGACCATAAAATTTTCCGTGAGAAGAACAACTATGCAAGACGTCAAGTTGCACTGGCTCGGACAGATCAGTGCAGAGAGTTGCTCACTAAAAGCAAAGATGAACAAATGAAATCTCTGTATCGTATAGCAAAACAAGCAAAGCGTACGAAAAAAGACATAGTTGGTGCCTCATGTATCAAAAATGACAAAAATGAGATGGTTCTTGAACAAGATGAAATCAAGCTACAGTGGAGAGAATACTTCAACCGTCTGTTAAACGCTCCACCCATCAAAGATCCGATTCCAGACTTCACTATAGAGGAGCTTACAGAAGCTCTGAAAGCTGTGAAGGATGGAAAGGCAGCAGGACCCTTTGGACTCACAAATGACATTAACAAGGCATCTAGTACTGCAGGTATCCAAACGTTACTACAACTTTGCCGTGAAATCTGGAGAAATTGCTCAATGCCGACCGAATGAAACTATAGCATGACAGTCCTGCTATACAAAAACAAAAGTGATCCATTGAACTGTTCATCATATCGGGGTATACGTCTGTTAAAACACTCCCTGAAAATTGTCGAAAAAATCATTGAGAGAAGATTAACGTCGTGCATCACAATCGGAAATTATCAATTTGGTTTCCTAGCGGGTAAATCAACAATTAATGCAATTCACATCCTTTGACAACTGCAAGAGAAGTACCTCGCAAAGCATCAAAAACTATCACACATTTTTGTAGACCTTGAAAAAGCATTTGATCGAGTTCCCCGTGAAGCAATCAGGTGGAGTCTACGTCGACAACTCATTCCAGAATATCTTGTTCGACTTGTGATGGAAATGTATACGAGTACTAAGACTCTCGTCAGCACAACGGTTGGAAACACAGATGCATTTGACATCGGCGTTGAAGTTTACCAAGGTCCGATTCCCAGTCCACTGTTATTTATAACTGTGATGCAAGAAATCACAAAACCGATACGCACTGTGACATTTGGAATCTAATATATGCTTATTATATCGTTTTAACAGCCACGTCTGAGCAGAATGCAGCACAGATGTTTGAAGATTGGAACACCAGACTCGCCGATCATGGATTCAAAGTCAACATCAGCAAAACCAAAGCAATGAACACTGGTGAACCCATTCAATCCACAGTTACTGGACGATGGCCCTGTTCAGTTTGTAAAGCTGGTGTAGGTAACAATTCAATCAAGTGTCAGCAGTGTAACCAGTGGTGTCACAAACGTTGTTCAAAAATAATTGGTAGTTAATTTAAAGTGTACAATTTCGTTTGTCCTGCTTGCACCAATCCTCAACAACAAATTTGAAATAGCACTGTTTTTGAAGCCATCAAGGTAGAGAAAGTCACATCGTTTCAATATCTAGGGGATGTTCTGGATTGTACTGGAACAGCTGAAGCTGCCGTTCGAGCACGCATATGTGCAGCCTGGAATAAATGGCATCCCCTTGCCTCTATATTGATGCGGCATGACATCCCACTACCATTACGATCAAGACTTTATAAATCTGTGATACGTCCGGTGTTGTTATATGGTGCAGAATCATGGCCAATGACAACCAAACTGGAACAACAACTTTAACGAACCGACATGAAAGCTCTAAATTGAAAGGAAATGGATACAAATGATCGTCTAATTTGGCGCAAAAAGTTGATGATAAAGAGAACAACGCCCTACCTCAGGAAACCGGGTCTCTGGACGCAAAACGAAGATTGATTATTCTCTAAACACTCTACTTTTCTTAGAAATCATATAACATCTGCTTCAACATCTAAAATTAGGTGATCTGCTCTATCTAAACTTCATCAGAAAAAATCTTCTCACTCATCTTTTTCTGCTCAACAGTTTCATGACTTTTTTGTAAATAAAATTACTTCTTAAAGAACATCTAATTCTAATTTTTCTTCTCATAACTTTACTAAACTTACTACTAAATCTTTTTCTGTATTTACTCCAATAAATCTTTTAGAACTAACTAAAATTATTAATTCTATGTCGTCTAAAACTTGTTCTCTAGATCTTCTTCCATCTAATTTACTTAAAGAATTTTTTTCAATATTTTATCCAATCATTCTCAAATTAGTTAATTTATCTCTTTCCACCTCTAAATTTCTTACTTTTTATAAGAATTCTATTGTTATTCCTATCTTAAAAACTCATCCTTAGGTCCTACCTCTTTATCTAATTATAGACCTGTTACTAATATTACTTTCATATCTAAAATAATAGAAAAAGTAGTTTTTAATCAACTGTCATCCTATTTAAATTTTAACTCCTTGTTACCTGTATCTCAATCTGGTTTCAGACCTGCTCACAGTACTGAAACTTCTTTACTCAAAATACACAATGATATCCTTCTCTCTAGTGACAATAGTAATCTTACTCTTCTTCTTGCTTTTGAATTTTCCTCGGCTTTTGATACTGTTGACCATACTATTCTTTTGAGACTGCTACATCTTTCTTTTAATATTACTGATTCTTGTCTATCTTGGTTTTCTTCTTATCTCTGTAATCGTTTTTCTTCTGTTGTTCTCAACAATTTTACTTTTAACTCCTTTACTCTTTCTTTCTGGGTACCTCAGGGTTCTATCCTTGGCCCTCTTCTATTTATACTCTATGCTTCTGAACTACCTCGTATAATTAATAACTTTTCTTTCTCTAGTCAAAGAGAAACTTCTGATGATTCTTACATTTATACTTCTTTTCCCCCATCTAATCTCAATAGTGTTCTTCATAATCTATCTCTATGTCTTTCTTCAATTATCGCCTGGTCTGACTATATGTGTCTTAAACTTAATCCTTCTAAGTTTTAATTAATTTGTTTTAATAAATCTAAACACTCTATTACTATTTCTCCTATTATCTTATCTGATTCTAATACTCTTGATGTCTCTCAAGTTTCGTAGTCTAGGTTTTATCTTTGATTCTACTATGTCTCTCTTTTCTCAGATTAATAGTGTTGCTAGAAGCTCTTACTTTCATCTACGTAGAATAAAAAAACTTTGGCCTTTTCTTGATGATCCTACTCTTCTCCTTCTTGTTACTTCGTTAGTCTTATCTAGGATTGATGATTGTAACTCGCTCTACTATGGTCTTTTTGATTCTATACTCTATCCTTTAAGTAAAGCTTTTAACTCTGCTGCTCGTCTAGTTGCTCGTGCCCTTTTCTTTTCTCATATATCTCCATATCTTGTTCTTTTGCACTGGCTACCTATAAAATATAGAATAATTTTTAAAATTTGCATGTTCATGTATAAGTCTCAATCTAAATTATTTCCTAAGTATTTATCAGATATATTAATTGAAACTGAACGCCCCGGTTTACGATCGTCTTCTTCTTCTTGCTTTTTCTCAACTCGTCTTAAACACTCTTTTGCCAAATCTGCTTTTGCTTTTTCTGATTCTTTTCTCTGGAACTTTCTACCTACTTCTCTGACTACTTTTCCATCACTTGCGAAGTTCAGAGCGGATCTCAAGACCCATCTGTTTTAAAAATTCATTGAGGAGCGCTGTTGAACTTAGCGGAAATAGCGTTTTATAAGCTAACTGATTGATTGATTGATTGATCTACTTTGTATTCAGTTGACATGTAATTTCTGTAATACAAGATGATGTCGTTATCTTGATTGTTGGTATTTGCAGCATGAATATATATATATATATATATATATATATATATATATATATATATATATTATATATATATATTAAAGAGCTATTAAAACCAAAAAAGAAATATATATATATATATATATATATATTTGGTTTAGACTATCATAAATACAATTATTTATAAAGATCACTGCGTTTTCGGCATTATTCAAATTGTAGTTGAGTTTCTCAATTTTTCAAACGAGACTTTTATCGTCTTGATGAAGTTTATTAAGGTTAAATAAAAAACTTTTAATATTTGACTTTTTTGACAAAACATTATTAATAACGTTATTATTACAGAAAAGCTCTTTTCTAGTTTTGTGTTTCTCTTTCATGTGATTCTTTATAGCGCTATTTCGTTCGTTCATCGTGAGCATTCTTATTTATGGTGCTTACACTCACCAATATTACATTTGAACAAATATATTAAATAGCTATGATCTATTATCGATTCTGGTTTACTAGTGCAGTTGTTTTTCATCACTAGAGATGAAATTCTTTGGTTGGAGTAGTATATTCGTTTTCGTTTGTTGTTTGGACGTTATTTTTTATGATTCTTTTTATGATTTTTCATCCTGTTTGGAAGCGGTTGACATGTTATTTTTATAATGTATTACTATGTTATTTTTGTTACTATTGTTGGTTGGATTGTTGTTGTTGCTGATTTTTTGTTCTTTGCGTTCTATTATTTTCTGGATCATGGAATTTTTATATCCATTATTAATGAGTAGTTTAGTGATTCTATCTAGTTCTGTTCTCCTGCTTTTTATATCAGAAGAGTGAGTATAGGCTCGGTCCTCAATGGCAATAGTGGATGTTGTCAAACATATCTAGACAGCCCGATCTTTGCCTTTGTATAATATAAAATTTTTTGATATAGTACTATTCATAAAGAACTGCACACCCTCATACTTGTTTATTCTTGTTTATTCGAATTAATGAAAACAAATATAATTCATAAACATGTAGTAATCATTATAATAAAAACATAAAAATATAACTAATTTGACCTATATCATTCAGAAGTATCACGTACTAACAACCGTACCAAACCATCAAAGTTCATTCATACACATCTGCAAAAAATATTATCAGGCATGCCCAATTTTTCAAAGTCCTGTAGACAATCAATCAATCTATTAATTAATCAATCATTTTGCTTTATATATCCATGTGTTCAACAGCGCTCCCCAGTCAATTCGTGAATTCTACAAACAGATGGATCTCAAAATCCGCTCTAAACTTCACAAGTATTTAGAAGTAGTTCGAAAAGGAGACAGAAACAGAAACATCCAAAGAAAGGGCGAAAGAAAGCAAACGCAGATTTAGCATAAAAGTGTTCAACACAAGTTAGAAAAAAGCGAGAATATACAGAAATATATCTCTGAGGTATTTAGAAAATAATTTAAATTGAGACTTGTACATTAAGGCGCAGAATTTATAAATTATTCTACATTTTATAGGTAGTCAGTGCAGGAGAACAAGACATGGAAATATATGATATATATATATATATATATATATATATCAATATATATATATATATATATCAATATATATATATATATATATATCACATTTTGATTTGCTCCGTATTTTTTTTTAATTTCATAGTTTAAAATCGAGTATTTAGTTTAAATTTAATTTCATTTGATAGAGAAAATTTTGACGAATATTTATATATATTTTTTCTCCGTTTAAAAGTTTAATTTAGTGCTGTTTTTGCTGTTTTTTTCATTTCGGAACTCACCCGGACAACGAACAACACAACAATCAAATTAATATGGCTTCAAAATGTACGAAAACAAAATGTGTGAAATCAGGAAAAGAAAATTTGCAATGCATTCAATGTTTTCAGTGCGAAAATAGTTTTCACATAAAATGTGTTGGTTTGAGTGATGAAGCTTTTGAAGTGACACGTGGTTTCGATAGTTTTAAATGGTTTTGTGATATTTGTCTGAAGAAGTTATGTAACGTTAAAACTCTCTCTAAAATAGTCAGTGACAACAATGATGAAATCAACTTAAAAGTTGAAAAAATTAACGAAATGAACAATTTGCTAAAAATGAACTTAAACTGATAAAAGAGATGTTGAACAGTAACAGTGCAAAATTAGATAGCCTTGATAGGCCTGATAGCAAGTTATCTGCCGAGATCAGCACATTCAAAAGTGATTTGAAATCTTCTTTTGTTACTGTTGTTGGCCAAGAAGTGAAGAAAAACATTGAGTGTGTCAATCTGGAAGTTAAAACGGTTAAAAGAAAACTAACTGAGTCAATTGATACAAAAGACAGAGAAAGAAATATAATAATTTTCAATTTACAAGAAGGTGAAGATGATAAAATTCGTGTTAAAAATATTTTGTTAAAATTGTCTGATGATATAAAAGATTCACATATAAAATATGTTACAAGACTTGGAAAGAAAAATGAATCTATAGGACATTTATATTCTAATTCAGTCGTTAATAATCAAACTATCCAATATTGATAGTGTTGGATAGTTTGATGTCTAAAGAGACCGTGATGAAAAATGCACAAAAATTGAAATTAATGTCGGTCGAACTGAGTAAAGTCTGGATTAGCAATGATCTGACACCTGAGCATTGAAGTGAATTAAAGAAACTGGTAGCTGATGCAAAATCGAAAGAAGCGGCATGCAAAGACAATTTTTTATACAGAGTCAGAGGTCCTGTGGGAAGATGGCGGATTGTGAAGTTCAAAAATTAACTGATGAGGATGTTGTTGACTGGAGGGCCAGTCGGAGGATGATTCATGCTACAGCTCAAAAATTAACCATGAAAAATTACAATGATTTAAAAATTGGCCTGGGGCTCCTCAACATAAGGTCTATAATGTCAAAATATGAAATGGTGTGTGATATAATTCGTGGAGAATTGGATATTCTTGTATTAACTGAAACATGGCATGGGTCGTCAGATGAGTTTGCTGTTCGATGCGCGATGCCCCCTGGTTATAAGTTTGTAGATTACGTCAGACCTCACGATCCATATCATGGCGGAATTATAATTTATTTCAAGAAAGAGTTCATTTATAAACCTGTTGAGTTACCCGCCGTGATAACTTTTGAAGCTGTTGCATTTAAATTGAGAGTAAACAAATCTGATTTTATTTTGTTATCAATTTATAAACCTGGATCGGTTCCTCCTTCACCATCGTTCTTTTCAGAGCTAGCGAATGTTTTAGAAGTTTTATCTCTGTAAAGTGATAAAATCGTTGTTGCGGGAGATTTTAATGTTCATATGGAGAAAAAGATGATCCAAACACAGTCTCACTGAATGAGGTTTTCGATTGTTTTCAGTTGGTTAACAGGATTAACGAACCAACGCATGAATTAGGTGGTGTTTTGGACTTGATCGTTACTTCTCGCTCTTTTCCTATCTTTAATAGTTTGATTTTTCCCAGTGGAGTGTTATCAGATCATGGATTAATCCAGGTTTGTTTGTCAATCAATCAAGTTATAGGTACGAGAAGTAAAAAAATGGTTCGATCCTGGCGACGCATAAATGAAGAAAATCTCGCATTGTTAATTTTGAAATCCCCGATTGGAGGGCCATGCCAAGATGATAATATAGAAACGCTGGTAGAGATTTTTGTGAATGAACTGAAGAGAATTGCGGACATAATAGCTTCAGAACACGTGGTTGAAAGTCGAGATGATTCGTTGACGCCGTGGTTTGATGAAGATTGTTCAAAGTCCAAGGCATACCGTAGAAAAATGGAAAAAAAGTACAGAAAGACTTTAAATCATCACGATAGGGAGGTGTGGAAAAATGCTCTGCGATCAAAAAATATTTTATTCGCCCAGAAAAAAAATTTGTTTTGGTAAAAATCATTTTTGAAAATAACAAAAATCCTAAAAAAATTTGGACTGTGGTAAATAAACTGTTGTGCAAAGAAAAAACTTTAAATTCATCTACCAATTTTGATGCGAACGATTTTGCTACATTCTTTTATGACAAAATTAAAAATGTACGAGAATCGATGGTGTATGATGAGAAGTTTAATCATTCATATGGTGTCTGCTGCAGCAACTTGTTTTCAGTTTTTCATGTTTATGACGAAAGCGAAATTGTTGAAGCAGTTTTGAACTCTCCATCTAAAACATGTTCACTGGATTGTGTTCTTTCACACTTTTTCAAAAAATATGTAGGATTGTTTTCAAAATATTTGACTGATCTTATAAACTTATGTTTACATACTGGTGAGTTTCCGGCTATGTTAAAGCATGCTACAATTTCTCCTCTTTTGAAAAAGGAAAAATTAGACAATTCTGATCTTAATAATTATAGACCTGTTTCAAATCTGGTCGTTCTTGTCAAAATTAATTGAAAGATTAGTTTCTAAGGAGCTTATGAAACACTTAGATAAAAACAATTTGTTACCGGTATATCAGTCAAGCTATAAAAGACATCATTCTACCGAAACCGCTTTGTTGCATGTGTTATCTAAGTTGCATGAAAATATAAACAACAGTAAACCATCTCTTTTTGGATTCTTAGATATGAGTTCGGCATTTGACTGTGTTGACCATTGCATTCTTCTGAAACGTCTTAATCATAGATTTGGAATAACTGGCTCTGTCGAACAATGGTTTCGGTCCTACTTAACAAACAGAACTCAACAGGTAATCTACAAGAATAAGACCTCTTTGGTTCAAACGATAAAATTTGGTGTTCCACAGGGCTCGGTTCTCGGACCGATCTTGTTTATTCTTTACACCTCTGAAATTATTGAGGCGATCGGATTACATGGTTTGGAGTGTCATGCATTTGCAGATGATATTCAGCTATTCGCCACAGAATCCTATAGCAACTTTTATCTTGCAGTTGATCGTTTTGTTAAATGTTTGGTCGAGATCTAGAAACGGATGGCAAATAATCGTCTTAAGCTCAATCAAAGTAAGACGCAAATTCTTCTGGTTGGAACTTGGCAACAGCTGTCTAAAATTAAAATTAATTCAGTTATCATTGAGGGCTCAAATATAAAGTTTATTCCCAAAGCTACAAACTTGGGTGTCATTTTTTATTCTAGACTGGCAATGACTGAACATATCAAGTTTTTATCTGGTACTGCAACCCTACAACTGCGAAAATTAAAAATAATCCGCAAAAGCTTAACCAAAGATGTTATTCAAAGTTTAGTGCATTCGTTTATTCATTCTAGACTGGATTACTGCAACAGCCTATTTTATGGTTTGCCTGAAAAATCGTTATCTGTGCTTCAGTCAATTCAGAATCTGGCAGCTAAGATCGTGGTTGGTGCGAAAAAGTTTGACCATGTCACCCCGATATTCAGAGAACTGCACTGGTTGATGGTCAAAAAAAGAATTTTGTTCAAAATATCAACAATCATGTTCAAATGTATAAAGGGAATGGCGCAAGTTTATTTGAAAGAAATGCATGCACCGAAACAACTGTCTTTTAAAAATGTCTGCTTAAGGTCTGATGATAGCAACTTGTTATGTGTGCCCCAAACCAACTTGAAAATGGCTGAGAGAAGTTTTTAGACAGTGCTTTTGAGAAACATTTTGTTTGTAATTAGCGCTATACAAATTTTCGAATAATAATAATGAGAATAAATAAGGGCACAAGCATCAAGACGATCAGCAGAGTTAAAAGCTTTACTTATAGGATAGAGTGTAGAATAAGGAAGACCATAGTAAAGCAAGTTACAATAATCAATCATAGATAAAAGTTATGAACAAACAAGTATGAGAAGGGCTGGATTGTCGAAAAAAGACAAAAGTTTTTTTATTCTACTTAGATAGAAGAATAAGAAAGAGACATGCTAGAATCAAAGCTGAAGCCTAAGCTACAAAACTTATGAGAAACATTGAGAGTTTTAGAATCAGGTAAAATAATGGAAGGAATAGCATCAGAGTGTTTAGATTAAGTTTAAGATACATAGAATCACACCAAGCGATAATAGAAGTGAGACATAGAGATAAATTATGAAGAACGCTATTGAGACTAGATGGAGGAAAAAATATGAATAAAGGAATGGTCGGCATATAATTGATTAGTAAAACGGTAATACAATAATACAAGGTAGTTCAGAAGTATAGATTGTAAATAGTAGAGGGCCAAGGATATATCCTTGAGGTACCCAAAAGTAAGAGTAGAGGAGTTAGAAGTAGCATTATTTAGAACAGCAGAAGAGAAACAATTACACAATTATAGAGATAAAACCGATAGACATGAATCAATAATAATAAATGAATGATCTAGCGGTCTCAAAAGCAGATAAAGGTCAAGAGCAAGAAAAAGAGTAAGAATACTTTTGTCACTATCGTTATTAATTTCAAGTGTATCAGTACCGTGAGCAGGTCTGAAACCAGATTTAGAAAAAGGTGGTAGGAAGTTAAAGTTTAAATTAAAAAATAATTGATTATACACTACTTTTTCTATAAATTTAAAGATAAAAAAAATATTAGTAACTGGTGTAAAATTAAATAAAGGAAGAATCTAAAGATGAGCTTTTAAGAATAGGAGTAACAAAAAAAATTATTATATAAGTAGGAAATTTATAGGTAGAAAGAGATAAATTAACTAATTTGTGAATAATAGGATAAAATATTAAAATTTGTTTAAGTAAATTAGAAGGAAGTAGATCTAGAAAACAAGTTGTAGATGACAAAAAAAATTAATAATCTTAGTAAGCTCTAGAAGAGTTATAGGAGAAAATACAGAAAAAGATTCAGTAGTAAGTTTAGTAAAGTTTTGAAAAGTAGAATGAAAATTAGATGTTCTTATTGAATTAATTTTATTTAAAAAAATGTTATGGTAGTGTTGAACAGAAAAAGATGGATGAGAAAATTTTCTATGAAAAAGCTTAGGTAGAACAGAACACTATTTTTAAATATTGATGCAGATATTATAGTATCTCTAAGACGAGTGTTTAGAGAATAATAAATGTCTATAATTAATCAATTCAGATTCATAAATAGAGCGAAGAGAGTTAGATGAGTTTAACCTATAAGCTTTAGCCAATACACATTCGTAGCCAAACCATGGAGATTAACGAGAATAAAGCCTATAAATAAAAGATTTGAAAAGAATGAGCATATCAAGAATAAAGGAAACATACATAGTCAAAATCAAGGGGAGACCTATTTGCCAATTTACAACACTTTCTTATGGGTCAAAGCAGGGATGTGCAAAGAACCTCAATTTTTTCAACTTTTAATTATTTTCGGTAATGTCGATTTTATTTTTTTAAATTTCATACCAATTTCGATTGCATTGAGGTTCTAAAGTAAAGTTTTGCCATGAAAAGAACAAATAAGCAGAATAACAATTTATTGAATTATTTAACAAAAACACCAGAATCGTTATGTTGTTATGAATCGAAAACTTTGTTGACACAAGAGTTGGAAGTCGGTACCATATAAATAGAATGTAGATGTATAATGGGCATCGCTCACTTTTAGCAAAAAAAACCTGGGTAGCAATATAGAGTCTTTTGACAAAATTTAGCGGTGAGTCATGTGACAACGTAAGAGATGTATTATCGTCTTGTTTGTGTGATTATTATTTTTACATATCAATTTTTTTTCAAAATGAAAAGTTGAAAATGTTGCGTAAGTTGTTGCTCTAATACCTAATAGTAAGACAACGACAGTAAATGGTATTTTACATCGGTAAGTTTAGTTTAGTAATTATTTATTATTTAAATAACGTTGTTTAGTCAGTATTTAGTTAGTTGTTTAGTACTAATAGTAGTAGTAGTAGTATATTACTTTTCAGTTGTCAAACACAGACACAATCATGAAATCAGGGCCGGATTAACATATTCAGGGCCCTAAGCACTTAACAATTATGGTGCCCGAACAACCAACCATGGAAATAAACAATTACGTCAGCAATTGACCAAAGAATTTGAATATCAATATGATTAATAGTAATAATAAAGCATAGAGTTAGAAGATAGCGGCTAGAGTTTTAACTCTTAATCATAAGTTAAATTAAATAAGTAACTCTATGTCTACACAACATAGACCGTGGTCCGTGGACATTGTTAGTTAATTAATATGACTCATTTATTTCAAATGAACATCACGCTAATTCATGCAACAATCTAGTAATTGCAAAAAATTGTAGTGGCTTGTCGCGGTGCCCCTTTTCATGCGGTGCCCTAAGCACTTGCTTAGTGTGCTTATTGCTTAATCCGGTACTGCATGGAATTATATAACTGGAAGCGTCCTATAACATTGACATTTTTTTCAACGGGCAAGTTTCCTCTAGAAGCAAGTTCCTAAAAAATTCATGAGCATTTTGATTTCTTTTTTAGAAAAATCTGAGATATGATTAGAAAAACCTTGGCCTTCCCGAAATTATATTAATGACTCTTTGCTGATCTGCATACAGCTCTTTTGTTAAAATTTATTTCGTTTTCAACATTCCGTGAAGTTTTAGGTTGATTTATAAGGTTTATATATTTATGCTTCACCTTATGATCTTGCATCATTAATCACTACACCAACCAGAAGTAGCATCAACAAAAGGTCGGTCATCATTGATAACATCTTCATAAATGATTCTCAATTTGTGAAGCTAAATGGAAGTTTGACATGCGATTTATCAGATCACCTACCAATATTAGCCTCATTTAGCATCAAGATGAAAAGAAACATCAGTTGTTCTCAGCCTGAAATGAAATTCTTATAATAAAACAAAAAAATTAATAATCTTAGAAAAAACTCGAATTGCTGTTTGCTAAACTGTGGCTGGAATGAAGTGTTTGATTGCAATGATGTTGATGCAGCATTTGAAAAGTTTACAGGATATTTTCAGTCATGTCTTTTTAATTCCTGCTTAATATCTTCAGAAAAAAAGGAAAAAATGTTATCAAAACAAAAACCATGGATTACAAAAGATATTAAAAAGCTAATAAAAAATAAAAACAGGTTGTTCAAAGTCTATTTATATATTTATATTTATTTATTTGAAGAATAACCAAAAAAGCTAAACTTGTGGATAGGCCACCCTTAACAAAGAATTCCAACTGTAAATGTAACAGAAATGTCAAATAAATACATACACACAAATTCTTACTATAAATGTAACAGAAATGTCAAATAAATACATATACATAAACACATGCTCACACGTACATCATTCTATGAATACTGTCATGTTTCATATACCTAAAAGTAACAGTATAGTCACAACTGAGACTGAAAATTCGCTTACTAAGAACATCAAAATTAAATAAGTTGTAAAATAGTTTAAAACTTTTTAAAATAAGTGTTTTTTAACTAAAAAGTTTTTAGCTTGTTTTTAAATAAGTATAATGAGTTGATTGTTTTAATTTCATGTGGCAATACAGTATCCCATACCCTCGTACCATTAAGTTTGATGCTTGAATGAAAAGCTTTTAATCTCAAAGTATGAGAATAGAAAAGGGAAGTGTGTCTAGTAAATTTCCTTTGAATATCATTGCTAAAAGTGAAAAAATTGGCAAAATAATTAGACAACTGTTGACGTAAAAATTTAAATACAAAAATTGATGTGAAATAAATGTGCAATTCTTTAATGGGCAAAATGTTGAGTGTCGAATTGTAAACATTGGTTGTATGAGTACGCGGTGGAAACCGATATAAACCGATTTTGACATTTTTGAATATAATTTAAATGGTTTTCTGGACTTCCGCCCCATAAAAGATTACAATAAATTAAATGTAGATATATTAGGGTATAGTAAAGTTCAATCATTATGTCATAGTTTATTTTTGATTTGATTTTATATAATATACCTAGTATTTTATTGATCTTAGTTGAAATTGATTTTATATGTGGTTCCCATGAAAGATTATTATTCATTAACACACCAAAAAATTTTGTAGAGTATGATCTAGGTAATGCCAGACTGTTAATTCTTATGTCAAGGTTGCCTATTGTGTTGATAATTATTTTGGGGCCGAATAATACATATGAACATTTGTTAAATTAACAACTAATTTATTGAGAATAAACCAATCTACGTATTTTTGCAATTCTTGGTTTATGCGATCACTTTCCAGTTTAAAATCCCTTGAAGTAAAAAATATGTTAGTATCGTCCGCATATAGTAAAATATTATTATGTAGATGGTATTCTTTGTAAATTGTATTATTATGTAGATGGATCTGGTTCTCTATCTTGATGTTGCAATGAATACCGTATCTACATAGGAACAGGGAACTAGTGGATCACTGATGTGATGCTCGCCATCAAAATCAATTATCGTTAAACGAATGTATAGTGGTGACGAATTAAATTGATGACTTACACGACTTAGTTATTATGTTAGTTACGACGATAAGAAATATTATATTTTAGTGAATCAAACACAAACTCACCCATTTTAGTTTGATTGTTCTTTTTCCAAAACGAGGTGATATATACGAATAAAATAAAAGCTACGAGTAAAAGCTATTTGTATGTCTTGAGTCCTATCTGTTGCGTGGGTTCTGTTGTGTCCTTCCCAACCCGTTTCGTCTCGTCTCTCGAGTAGACTCGTGTGTATCTTGTGCTGTTCTTTGCGTCCCGTCTCGTCTCGTCTGTCGTGTAGTCCCGTGTGTGTCTTCTGTTGTTCCTTATGCTTAATGCTGCACTCCTTATATAGGAGAGAGTGCCTGCGCATTGGCGTCTTAATGGCTCTACACTGGTCTATTAACCTAGTCTGTACTTTCGTGAAAAATTATTTGCATTCCAGTCATGATAAATTACGGTCACGCGTGTCTTTCTCTTATTTAATATTTCTCTGTTTGTGGTTTCGTCTGTGTATGAGTCTGTGTGTATGCCTTTTGCTGTGTGCGCTGGCGTCTTAGTTTCACATGCGTAAATGGTTACACATGGATCTGATTACCTCGTCTGTAATATTTTGCATACCAGCCGTGATGAATTACAGTCAAGTGTGTCTTTCTCTTATTTGTTGAGTATTTCTCTGTATGTGTCTATGTCTGTGTATGTGTCTGTGTGTATGCTTTTCGCTGTGTGCATTGCTAACCTCCTATGCTCAGAATGCCTGCACATTGGTCTAGCTTTCGTCAGCGTTTCCTTCTGTGGAGCAATAAATACGTCAGTCGTGGTAATTTACAGTTTATAACCAGATTGTGTATGTCAGCGTGTTTTTATTTGTGTTAGTCTTTGTATGTGTGTGTGTGTTGGTTAATTTACATGATAATATTTGCCGAATCAGTCACATTAACAATGTCATTAATGAACAAGACAAACAAAAGAGGTCCGTGAATAGAGCCTTGCGGAACTCCACTGTTGATGTTTAGACATTCTGATTTAAATCTTTTTAATGCAACATATTGCTTCCTATTCCTAAGATAGCTTTCACACCACGAGTAGGCTGCACCTCTTATTTCATTCATATATAATTTCTTCAAGAGTAATTCGGGGTTTATGACATCAAACGGTTTTGACAGATCTATGAAAATACCTAAAGTGAGATTTCTGTCGTTTAAAGTCTTGAAGACTTTCTGAATCAATTCAAGCACAGCTAATTTGGTCGAATGCTTAGGCCTATATACATATTGACAATTGCACATTATGTTATTTGCAGCCACATGAGTCAAAGGAACAAGTATTTCATGAATAATTTTTTTTATAATAAAGTTACTTAATGTATCATCTGAAGTACTTTTTTTATTTTTTCATGTTCGTGACTATACTTAATATTTCTATATTGTCAGGAGGTTGAATATATATAGAATTAGGTAAAGTATTACCTAGTGGGCTATTACTATTAGTTGTTGGATTATGCTGCGATTTAAGTAAATTGTCAGTTACATCTATAAAGTATTTATTGAATGCGTTACATATTTCCTCTTTATCTTCTATTAATTTGTTATTTATTTTTAGTCTATTTATATTAGGATGTGATATTTTTTTATTTAATATATTATTTATAACATTCCATTTTTGTTTTGCATCATTTTTAGCTGTCATAACTTTACAATGGTAATAATTTTGGAACACTTTGCGTAAATAAGCTGTAAAGTTATTTCTAAACTGTTTGTATTTGTTTAGACTGTCTTGTGTGGGATTTAACAAATAATTTGTATGTAGTTTATTTTGCGTGTTTGATAATTTTATTATTTCTCGTGTAACCCATTCTTTTTTAATTTTTAATTTTACAAATTTAACTGGGGCATATCTGTTTATAATAACATCACAATTTTATAAAAATTATCACAAGCCGTATCTATATCATTGTTAGCTGTTACAGACAACCAATCTTGACTAGAGAGCTTGAATTTGATTTGTTGTAATGCATTATTTGTCATGATTCTTTTATATTTTTGTGCATTGTCGTGAGCATGTAAGTTGGAATTTGTTGTAACAGCGTAAATGAAACTATGGTCCAAGAAGTCTGAAAGAAATATTTAAAGAATTACTAAATATGTTATCTATTAATGTAGAAGAACAAGCTGTGAAACGAGTAGGGTGACACAATTAAAGGATAAAAACAATGAGAGCAAAAGATTTTGAAAGTTTAATGTGTGGTTATTTTTGGCCAGAATATTTATATTAAAGTCGCCCAATATGTACACCTCTTGAGCAGAACTGAGCTTGTGTAAAATATTTTCAAATTCATTGATAAACTTCTCAATGCTTGTGTTAGGTGGACGGTAAATAGAAATGATTTTTAGTGGCAATTTATTAGAAGAATTTGACTTAATATTTATACTAAATGCCTCAAATATGTCATCTACAGACTCGATGTTATCATCGATAAAACAATCAAATTCTTTCCTTACAAAAATTCCTATACCGCCTCCTAATTTATTTTGTCTATTTTTATAGAAAAAATTGTAATTATTTAGACTTATGAGGCCCGCGGTGATATCGTTCAGCCATGTTTCAGTTATGACTATCACATTGAAAAATGAATTAAACTGATTAATCAAAATATCTAATGTAATCATTTTACCGTATAAGCTACGTGCATTTATATGTAGTAGTGATAAATAATTAGATTTTATTTTGAAATTTTCAAGAAAATCTAAGCAAAAATGTTTAACAGTTTGATAATAATTATAATTATTAATTTCTGTAAGTAGACGCTTTTTATTTCTAGATGCAACAGTGAATGGCTGCATATTACTTGAGTTGAAGGTATCATACTTAAACACGCTTGTACTATTGTTTACGTTGCTGTTGAAAGTGGGCCTCTGATCTGTTATAGGCTGACCAATGAATTTGTGTACATGCTCCAGTTTGTTAGCAATTGATTGGACGCAGTTTGAGTTTTCAATAAACTTCGAAGTAAAATCAGAAACCAGCTGTTCAATTTCAGCTATTTTCTTAAATATAGCTTAAACATTTACTAGAGAAATCTTCGGAACTCTATTCATGTCACAACTTACGTAGCAGGGAAGATTTGGAGTAAAATCGCCTGGCACAATTTGTCGAACATACCAATTCCGCTAATTTGTCTGCCGTTTTCTCTTTTCTCGTGCTACTAAGTTGAGAAAATTTAGTTTTCAGACTTTAAACTTTCCATATCTGCCAATAATTGGTTTTTAGCAACGTTTATCTCCTCAGCAGTGAAAAACTCGAAGGCGGCTGCCACAAAGTTTGGGTTATCCAAAAACTTCACATTGCTAAACAAATAACACAATAACTCATTTGCTATTAGTACAGTTTTCTCAGTCATGTTTTTACGCAAATTATCCGAATGGGCAAATTAACAGAAATTTTTTCAAAAATTATTTTATAAAATTAAATTATTTTATAAAATTAAATTTCTTTTTAATATTTGACGAAGTATTACCCTAAATAGTTTGAAAATTATAGCTTTTTAATAGGGCGAACGATAAACCGTTTACAACGTAAACAACAAAGTTTAAAAAATGGAAGTGCATAACATATATATGTATATGTATATATATGTATATATATATATATATATATATATATATATATATATATATATATATATATTTACAATATTCTATAAATTTTACCAAATGTTTGGCGTTAATATGTTTGTAGTTCGTTTTTTCAATTTTTCTCACTAAAGTTTTTTGGTGAACGTTTAG